AAACACCACCCCCTAGAGCAGACCACAAGTTGTTCTAGCCCATATCTGCCAGGAGCCCCAAGGGCAGTGAGAAAGGCCATCAGCATTCCCCTCAAAATCCTCACTCTCCAAGCACCTGGAAATTCTTAGTCTCCTTAACCGTCTGTTACAGATCCATCAGTCATCAAGTGATGGAAGCCTTCATAAAGATTTTTGTCCCTTCATCTGCCTTGTCAAGGAAGGTGTGTGAGTAGTGGGAACAGGCTCAGCCTCACTCTCTCCTTTAACTGCTTCCATTTCCGGGGTCCTACTCCACCCACCACTGGCCAAGGCATGTGGGTATGTGGTGGCAGTCACCTCACACACATTGGTGCTCAGTGTATGTGGGGAATGGGACCACAGAGTCGCAAGGCAAGAGTGTGAAAGGTGGAAACAAACTCTAGACTCCAGTGCAGACTCCAAGAAGATTGAGGGAGGCTACTGACCCGCTGTGAACTTCAAATAGGGCAGCAAGAACGTTCACATTTAGGGTAATCATGAGTCACTGTGTACAACATTTAGGCCAGTGACTAGCAAGAGCTGAGTTCTCAATTAGTATAGTCCTTATTTTAAAAAAAGATTTATTTATGCATAAAGAACTGGGGTACAGGCCAGAGGTGCTGCTGTGGTGAGAGGATTCACCAGAGGCAAAGCGGGGAGCAGAACAGGCAGACTGATGAAGTACACTGCTGAGGGGAGCAGCGGGCGGGTCAGGAGAGGTCTGCTGCACCATGTGGGTCAACCCCCTGGCTGGGGATCGAACTCATGCTGAAGTGGCTGTGGGAACTTCATAGTGCTGCGCTTCAAACTGTTGCACAACCATGGGAGGGCCTAGTATTAGTTTTTAGATATAATTAGATATAATTATTAGATATAATTTTTAAGGCAACAGAAAATGTCTGGTGAGGGAATGACATTGTCCTTTATAAAGCACACTTGGAGAATTCTCAACCAAATTCCTCAAATGGGGTGTCATAATTACCCCATTTGTAAGAAACTGGTTTGGAAATTTTAGTGATTTGCCGAAGAAAGATCTCACAGCTGGTAATTTGTGGAGCCACAGACGCTAGTGGTACCAAGTTTTGTTTTATTGAACCTTATGGCTTTGAAGTAGACTTAAGGGATTTTAGAAAAACACAGCTCAAGAATGCCAGTTCCTTTTTCCCTGACTTCTCCCCAGAAGATGGGCGGGCCATGTTGTTACTGGTTTCTCAGCTCTGGGGGTGGGGCAGGGGCACACTCATCAATCAACACCAGAGGGCTGATCACAAACTGAGTGCAGTGGGTGGATATTATTTTGAGCCTGATTCAAATCGGCTAACATGATAAAAACAAAAGCATAAATCTGAGACAGCTGGAAAAAGGTGAGTATTGGCTGGGTGTTAAGGCCACTTTAAAACGACTGCTCATTTGCTAAGTGTGTTATTGACATCGGGATCATGTTTTATTTTTAAAAGCTATGGACCCATACAAATGTCTCTCTCACACACAAAAAAATCATTTTTGACAAAGGTACAAATGTAATTGAGGAAGGGTTTTTCAACAAAAGGTGCCAGATCAAGAAGACTTCTATAGGCAAGATAATGAACCCAATATAGTATCAAGATTTCTATTTAAAAAATCACTCAAAATAGGACAAGAACTAAAATGTAAAACATAAATCTATAAAAATTTTACAAAGGTATGGGAGAAGTTCTCCCACACCTTGGGCTTGATGAAATCTTTTAGATCTGACACCAAAAACACAGGCCACAAAGAACAAAATAAATAAAGTGAACTTGGTAAAAATGAAACACTTCTCTGCAAAAGACCCTGGAAGAAGATGAAAAGACAAACCATAGAGTAAGAGAAAGTAGTTATAAGCCAACTCAAGACAACGTTCTCGAATCTAGAATATGTGGAGGCAGAAAGCACAGGAAAAATGCAGACAGGAGACACTACCACACATGTACCAGTGGCTAAAATTTTAAAAAGTGGCTACACCAAACAGCGGTGAGGATGTGGCAAAATACCAGATCTATCACATTGCTAGTGGACATGCAAGATGGCCCAGTTGCTCTGGAAAAGTCTGTCGGATCCTTTTAAAATTAAATATGTACCATAAAATTAAATATGGGACCATAGGACCCAGCAATTGTGTTCTCGGGCATTTATCGCAATAAAAAATGCAGAGGCACAACTGCTCTCTTCATAATAGCCACACTGGAAGAAGCCTAGCTGGCCCTACCTGTGGGAATGGTTCTACAGACCAACCAGTACCTTCACACTGTGCAATATGACACAGCAGTAAAAAGAAACTATTGATACACACATGAACCTGGGTGGTTCTCACTTTTGCAGAGTGGGAAATTAAATCCACCCCAAAGGGCTACAAGCCTTCTATAACACATTCTTTAAATAAAGTGATAGAGTTGGAAAACAGCCAGTGGCTGCCAGTTAGGGACAGAGATGAGGTGGATGTGGTTATGTAGTGGTAGCATGAGCGAGCCTTGTGCTGACAGGAATGTTGTGTATCCTGATTGTGCTGATGGTTCCACAAATCTACTCGAACTGCACAGATACAGAAACACACACACACACACACACACACAGAGGAGCTGTGAAATCTGAGTAAGCTCTGTGGATTGTACCAATGTCAATTTCTTAGTTGTGATACTGTACTAGTTATGCAAGATGCTGTGTGGAGAGACTGTGGAAGGGGGCACAGAACTTCCCCAAAGATACATATATATATATTTTGCAATATCTGGTGAACATGAAATACACTTCAAGATTAAAATTAGAGAGATCTCACAGAGATGCATATAGATAAATGACACAGGACTGAGATTTGCCTCAACAAATACTCTAGGAAGAAAAAAACCAAAGGGATAAAGGTGGGAGAAACAGATGAAAGAGAATTCATAAATGTGTCAAAGTGAGGTGAAAGACACATCGGGAATGTTCCTCTTTAGTATTAAAAAATTTCCAAAATAAAAAGTTCCAGACAGTTCTCAGGGGTAATTAAACCAAAAGAAGGGTTCATCAGCCCTGCTTATCTGCCGATTGCACTAATTTTGGAACACAAACTAGGTTCGAAGCTTGTAATTGTTTCATTTACAAAGTTTTTATTATGAAGTTTTATTAAGAGATCATCAATCACATTCTTAATCTGGCTCTGTTTCACGTTTCCCCTTCCAGAATCCTCACTCCCAAACTTATATAAAAATAGAATTTATAAATATACACTGTGAATTACACACAATTTTTACACAATAATTCGGTCTATGTTTCAAGTCAACAAATCACTGTTTCTCATCCAGAACAGACTCTCAGCAGCATAGCCTCTGAAGTCTCAGCAGCAGAAATGGCAACTCTTCTCCAAATCCCACTTAGCCCCCGGACATGGTGTTCACAGGCTTCTGTTGTCAAGAGGTTCCACAGTTGTCCCCAGTCAACTGGGACATGGCTGGCAAGAGTCATGATGGTTTTAGCCCTGTATCCACCAGGGTTCATGCCTAGGCAGTATTTAAACTCGACAGGCCAAGAATCACTGAGAGCGCAATTACAGACCATGAGGGGTCAGTACAGACCCAGTCTATGTTCACGTGTAAGCGGTTCAGGTCACCAAATACCTGAGAAACTCTTTTTTTGGCCCAGAGTTGGAGAATCCAACTTTCTCCCTGGCACCCGGCTTCTGTTCCTGACAGCAGCTTGCCCTAGAGATCAGTGAGGCCAGAGGACCCTGGGGCCTGCCATCAGGTCACACAGTTCCTCATCAAGTTTTCAAATTCACAAGAGGATGGAAGATTCAGAGATGACCATGGAAGCCTAGTCTAGGCAAAGTTCGACGGGACGTTAGGTTGCTAACTCAGTGAACTCTGATCTTATGGTAACTTCCAGGTGTTGCTGGCATTTTCCCTCCTTGGATTTGGCTTTAAAGTATTTTCCTTCAGTGATGATCAGCCAAAGGCTATTAGCTTGTCCAGGATCTTCCTCACAAGTTTGTTTGTTTGTTTTTTGGTTTGGAGGATCTTTCTCAGGAGGCAAAGAGGTTGAACAAATCGAGACCTGCTTCTAGAAAAACACACAGGCCTTCCATCTGTGCCAGTCTTCTAGCAGACTGGCCAGGCCTCTCAGTTTTCAGAAGACAAGGCCCAGTCCAGCCCTCAAACCCTGAGACCTTCCCCAACCCTATCCTTCTCCTGTTATCTACAACTGGGTTCCTCCAACAAGTTACAACATAAAAGATCCACTCTTGAGGCTCTTGTCAGAGAAAACATCTTTTCTCAGGAAGGGCTGGCCTAGGAGAGGGGAGTCCCTGAGCACACCTTCCACAGTGGGATGGCAACAGACAAATGCCTTAGGAAAGTAGTGCCCAGTTTAGGCTATGATATGTGGGTCACTGTTTCCAACAAAATCACCTCTGATCAGATCAACAGGGCACTTGGAGCCCAATGAGGAGATATGTAAGACTGAGGCGCTGGGATGATGAAAATTGCTGCCAAAATTGTGATTCAGGTAAAAAGGGTCCAGATATCCTGAAGCACAAAGTAGGCAAACAGTCTTTCTGGCAGAAAGCAAAGCAAAAAGAATCTTTTCTTTCCTATCATCTTCCCTGGTCTTCAGGTTTCAAAGAAATCAAATCCTGTGGTAATCAGTGACGTCACCAGCTGTTCCTATGCTCTATAGGATGGCCTGGTTGATTAAGACAGCTTTGTTAGTACCTTTGTATCTTCCTCAGCCCAAACATCCGATGAAAAGAGGTCATCTTATTCTAGAGTTTGCAATTAAAATCATGCCCCGTCGCACCCTGGGCAGCCTCAGCTTGACCACGAAGAGGCACCCTCTCTTCTTCCCTCGAGTGGCTAACTCCCCCTCTGGAGGGCGGTGTCCATGTCCCTCTACAAGGCATACTTCCTTCTCAGCTCACGAGAGGGACCTAGAAAGAAGAGGAATCCATGGGTCCTGCCTGGTGGAGCCCTCCCGGCTGTGCTTCTATGGGAGAGCCACTCCAGGGCTCTGTCCGCTGCAGGACACTTGACCTCTATGGAATAAGAGGTACATGTGGGAGACAGGAAGAAGAAAAGGGGAGATATTTCCTCTCACCAAAGTAGCTTTCACTAACGTAAGACCCACTGGTAAGCCTCTCTTTTCTGCCAAGCAGCAGAGAAACCACCTTTTGACAAGAGAAGCGTCTCCGCACCCCAGCCTCCAACTCACTTCTTCCTGCGGATCTTGGGTTTCTTCACGGGTCGCAGATAGGGGTTATCGATGACATTCTCCTCCCCATTCCGGCTCCCTGTCAAGGAGGGGTTCGGCTGCAGGACAGAGGTGTTCTCCTTCTCAGCTCCAGAATCGTCCTTTGAGCAAAAGCCGAAATAAAGCAAAACACCAATGGCATAAGGAAAGAGATCATGCCCATAATACAAACAAGTATCAGCATCCCATTTGTGAAGTTAGAAGCCCATGGGCTACGTTGTCCTGATGAACCTGTCTTAGCCTCAGGAAATGCAGCCTCAGCAGCCTGTAGAGGAAGGCGAGAGTGACAGCTCTGACAGTGGAGGATACAAAACCCCGAGCCTCGAGAGAAGACAGGGACATGAATTAGGAAGCACAGAGACCTAGTAAGGGCTGAGGAGCAGGGGCTATATCTTAGCTGCTTCAGGCAGGAAGCCCAGCCTGTGGGGAGAGAAAGAAGTGCACGTGATGCCTTGCAGGACAGACGCAGGGTCAGAACAAGTCACAGGTGCAGGGGGTCTCCGGGCCCAAAGCCAGCGTACATGAGAACAGCTTTCCCCCAAGTCCTCAAACAGCTGATACTTGCAACCTGGTACCAATGAGCCCACGGCAGCAAAGGCCAGACCCTTGCACCCTAGGGGTCTCACCGAGGCAAAGCAGAGTTGCAGGCACCACCATGGAGGCTTCAACAGTAATTCTTATCTGCAACCCGTGAAGCAGATCTTTTACAGCTTGTTTTCTGCAGAATGGGTGATTTAGTAAAAAGTCTCTAAAGCACAAGTATTCCAGCATGAGTCCAATTTTAGAAAGTTTTTTTTTTTTTTCAATCACAGTGACGTATAGTTACGCAAAGAAAAGAACGTGATGAAATTTTTAAAACTGGGTCTTGGAATATGGACAATCGATACGCTTTTATTTATATTCTCTCCTATTTCCCAAGCAGAAACTAGAGGAAGACGGGGAAACACATCCCAGGAAGAGCTGGATGTAGAAGCTCAGGCCTTAGTGACTACATGAGCAGAAGCGACTGGTTTGCGCCCTCTGGTGACAGGCCCAGGGCTCCGCCACTCAAAGAGTCCTGTTGTGTAACCAGGCAAATGAACGGCAGAAGAGGCATGAAATAAATGAATAGCAAGGTGCATGCAGCTGGCCTAGCACAAGGACACCAGTCTCAGGTTCAATGAGCCTGAAGACACCGGCTCACCTCCAGGTTGCCCTGCACACTGCCCACTCGTCACCCAGCACTGTGTTACATCCACGGCCCCTGCCTTTTGCCTCTCCAGCACCTGCTTGCACCAAGAGTTGACTTTCAGTCCTGTTGGGCCTCTGGAGGTGCTCCTGACAGCTCATGTCCCATGATCAATTCAGGCCCTGCCAGGTCAGGTCCCAGACATAGAATCTGTCCACAGCCTTGGATATTTGGCTCACAGTCTCTCTGACGTTCTTAACGGTCTGGTTTGGTTACTAGCCCCTACTTCCCTTCCTATTTTTTAAAAAAAGATTTATTTTATTTATTTACACATACAAGAACTGGGTGTAGGCCAGAGTTGCGGGGGGTGGGGGGGGAGAGGATTCACCAGAGACAGAGTGGAGAGCAGAACAGGCAGTTTGACTGAAATACACTGCTGAGGGGGGCATCAGGCAGGTCAGGAGAGGTCTGCTGTGCCATGTGGGTCACCTCTCTGGCTGTGGCTCAAACTCTTGCCTCAGTGGCTGGCGACAGCTTGACAATGCTGAGACTTTAACCTCTGCACCATGAGGAAGGCCCTACTTCCATTCTTATTATTTCTCTATGGTGAGCCCCCTATTTTCACAGTTATGAAGTTCACTTCAACCGTGCCATAAGTGTTTCCTGAGATAGTAAGGATGGAAGTGACACAATAAGAGGTGCTGGAAAGACAGCAGAGAGCTCCTGGGGCTGCCCCCACCCAGCTCACTGTTTCCCACAGGCCACACAAGGGTCAGTCACGCGACAACGGAAATGCTACCTTCTTGCCTCTTGCAGGGATAGGAAGCCTTGAGATGGGGGTAGGAGGTAATAGAAGGGAAGTGTCAAACTGAGATTTCTATTTTATTTTATTTTTTGTTAAGAGAAGAGTATGTGGTTAAGACAGCAGGGGAGGGAACGAGGGTGCATGAGCGCCAGGCCCTCCTTTCCCCAGGATGGGGGGCTCCTGCTCCTAGCTGTGTGTGTGAGGACACTGACTCAGATGCTAGCTAATGTGTGGACAGTCGCTATCTGGAAAGCGGCAGTCTAAATTCCAGGCCAGTCTGACTCTGAGGGTCGCCCCTCTTTGCTGTCTGGCTTAGCCCCTCAGTATATAGGAGTCCTCAGGCAGCCCCTGCATTCTCTCAGCCTCAGTTCACTCAATGCCATGACCTTACTTTTGTCATTTATCTGGATTTGTTCAAAAACACATCTGCAAGCCCTTTAGCTGCACTGTACTCACACATGTGTGGAAACTTCTTCTTGGAAGATTCTTCCTTCTCCTAAAGTGAACCTCCTCTGAGTCTATGACCCATTCACCCTACCTCAGACCAAACGAACTGAATTCAAACAGAAGTGGAGAGTAACAATTTCCTCAGCTTTATATAAAGCCATAGGCTCCCAGCTCTAATTCTCAAAGGAATAATTCAACATTAACAAAATGTGTGTGCAAGCAAGGAAGGCCTTCAGCAAGTAACTGAGAAAGCAGGTGCTGGCCATCTGCCTCCTGGAGCTCCTGGCTGCATTCGCCAGATCGCACCTCAGACATCCAAGAAGGCTTGGCCCAAATACAAACACGACAGCATTTTTTTGCTTAAAAGCTAGGACTGATCTGAATAAGGTAGCATAACTGCAGGGTCCTGTATGCTTTAAAGGCATCAGAGCTTCCAGCAGTTCTGTGATTCCAACTGGTACTTTCTCCCAAAAGGTAGGAGCGAGAGTGGGTCTTAATCTTCTACACCTTGAAAAGCAGGAAAGAACACCCACAGGTCCCTATGGGCACATGCCCCCCACTCTGTCTCACTGCCCACACACACTATCTCCTATCCTGAAAGGAGAAACCTGGAACTACAGCGGCTAACCCCCCGATTTGAGCACAAGACCCCCATGCCCTCTTACCTACCAAGGAATATTGCTCCAAACAGTTCCCTCTCCTGCATCAATTTTCCCCTGTTAGATCATTCCCAATCAAACATTCTGTTCTTTTGTCTTAAACAAAAACACTTAACTCCTTAATTTTCACGCTAGTTACTGATCCATTTCTCTCCTACTTACAGCAAGACTCCTCGAAATGATCATTTATAGAAGCATCATCCAATGGAACTTTCTGTGATGCTATAAATGATCACATTTACACTGCCTTGTATGGCAACTAGACTAAATAACTGAACTTTTAGTTTTATTCATATTAATTAAAATTATAGCCACAGGTAGCTAGTGGCTACTGTAAAGGACAGTGCAAGTCTATACTCACCAACTACAATTTCTACTCCCCCATTCTCTGTGAATTTGCTCCAGGTCCTTCATTCTTACTGAAACTGCTTCTCAAGGATACACTCACACAGCCCAGGCTGAAGGCCAGACAGATTCTGTTCCTATATTACTGTAACTAAGGCAGCTTTTAAAACAGCTAATGGTTCTCTGTTCACGAAATACCACGTTCCCCCAGGTCTTCTCCCACCTCCCTGCTTAGCCTTCTCTATGTCCATTGGGGAGAGTTCCCACTTTTCTCTCTAAACAGTAGATAGCCCCAGGCTCGACCCTTACACCTCTTTTTCACCCTCACTTGCTCCCTAGGAGAGTTCACCTACTTTCTATTCTAAATACCATCTACAGGCTCAAGAGCCCAATGCACCTCAGTAGCTCTAAAAGCCCTTTGAACTCCCAAAGCACACAACCACCTCACCCCCTGGAGGACTAAAACGCACGCATCTTCAGCTTACCTCCTCTAAGCCTGGACTCCCGGCCTCTCCACCCAGGCTTCCTGACCTTGGCTGACAGTAATGCCACTTTCTTATTGTTCAGGCAAAAAGCAAAAGAAGAAAGTGTCTCTGGATCTCTTTTTCTCTTATATCCATTCTGCTAGCTGGTTCTGCTCTGAAAATAATCTAGAATTTGACCAAGTAACTTTCTGATCATGTCTCATCATCTTCACCTTGACCACCATCCCTCAGTTTACTGCAACGGCCTCCTCACTGCTCCCTCAGCTCCTGCCCTTCTGCCCAGGTTGCACCCTCAGATGGCACCATGACGGATGGGGAGTGGCCAGCTAAGCCACGCCAGTGCCTGGCCGCCTTAGCTCAGTACTTCCGCCACTTCCCAGCTGAGAAAATGCCCGGTGTGTAATATAATCTTTAAAACTGGACTCCCCAGGAGCTTCCTGACCTTACTCCCTGCTTCCTCCCTTTTTCCCACACTGTGGCCCTATTCTGCACTGCTGGCAAGCTCCACCTCAGGGCCTCTACTCTGCTGCTCCCACTGAGGAAAGGTTACTCCCAGAGATATGCAAGCCCTGTTTCCTTTAGGCCTTTACTCAAAGGTCACCTTCTTAGTGACCCTATCTAGTAGCTTTCTCCCAGTGCCCACACCTACTTCTTATCTAATTTATTTATTCCTAATTTATTGTTTTTCCTTAGCTTCAGGAGAGCAGGACATTTTGTCTATTTTGTCTCCTACTAATTTCCCCACAGCTGGCTCTGGCAGGTGTTCAATATTTGTCGAGTGAAGAAGTCCCTAGGATGTGGACTTGGCTCTCAAGCTGGAGATCCGGTCACACCTGAATGCTCCTAGGCCCATCAAGTAAGCCCCTAACAGGAAGCCAGAGGCCTGCGATAGGTCACATTCAATTCTCAGGGTGGCCAGCTGGAAGCAGTGTGGACCAGCTCTCAGAGTACCAAAAGCAGGAAAAAGGGAGGACCCACCGTGCTGATGTGAAGAGGAAGGTTCTCCGTGTCTGTCTGCTCATCCTGCTCTGAGGAATCCGTCTCTTCCATTTGTTGCATCTCCAGCTCAGACGGAAGAAGAGCTGTCAGGTAGGGGATGGTGAAAGGCCTTGCAGCAATCACTGGGGAATTGGAAGAGAGGCACAATTCCACGTCATGGAGCCTTTGCCTGGCCTAGGCCTGACAACAGCTCAGTGAGCAGGGAGACAATGAAGGTTAATGCTGCAAGCACTTGCCCTGGCCAGGCAATGTCCCATAGGCTTCACACCTGCCATCTTAAAGCCTCCCCTGCACCCTAGTCAGTATAATTACCAAGGAACCAGAGAGAGAGGGTAAATGACTTCCTTGGTCACCTGGGAAGTGCAGAGTGGATCTGAACTCCAGTAATGGTTTTGGAGCTCCACTTTTTTTTTTAACTTTGTAATTTTATAGTAAAATTTTATAGTTTTGTTTTTACATATTTTTGTGCATTTTTCCATCTCAGTTGCAATCCCCTAGGGTTTCCCATCACCAAATCTCCCATGTGCCATCACCATAGCCCAGTGCATTTCCCTCCCCCACCGTTTTTGAGCCCATTCCCCACTCCACCCCCGTAAAATGTCTCTGGTATGTAGCTGTTTATCATTATCACTATTTTCTCGCCTGTTCCGTTATATTCCTGCTATGAGTGAAAACATCCAGTATTTTTCCTTTTCTTTCTGGCTTATCTCACTAAGCATGATCTTTTCCAGCTCCATCCATGTTGCTGCAAAGGACATGTGTTTCTTTTTTTTTGGTTGCTGAGTAATATTCCAATGTGTATATGTGCCACATCTTTTTAATCCAGTCATCCATTTTTGGGCATTTGGGCTGTTTCCATGTCTTTCCAATTGTGAATAAAGCAGCAATAAACATGGGGGTGCAGGTATCTTTTTGAATCAGTGTTTTTTGGATACCTAGGAGTGGGACTGCTGGGCCGTAGGGAATGGAGCTACACTTTTACCAGGTATAGAACTATGTACAAAACTAGGACTGAATCCGAGTGAAGCATCCACTCTCTAAGCCTTACTTTTAGAATAGAGAGATGGATTCTTTCAGCTAAAAGACTCAAGTTCAAATACTAGACTTGAGAACTCTCCTAGAAGGCGCTTCAGAGAAACAGCGTTTCAGTTCTTCCAAAAAGCATTGAGGATAAAAAGAAATTATTGATTAAAAAAAAATAATAAGAGGAAGTCTCTCTGTGTACTTCTATGATGAAATACATTATCAGGAGACACTCAGATTATTCTTAATGTGTCTAGGTTTAAAGTCAGAAAGAGCCAGGTTTGAATAGTACCTACTTGTTGTGTGACTTAAAGCAACTTACCTCATTTCTCTTCCCTATAAACCCTTCTTTCCTACAATGGATGTGTAACAGTTCTTAAGCCTTCAGGAGAATGGAGGTGGGGAGCGGACTGAATGTGAAATGATTAGCACAGTGTCTCCTCCTTAACAATTGTCTCCCACTAACAGTCAGTCAGCAGCAATTCCTCCAAAGCCAGGCACAAAGGTAGAAGTTTGATGAGCAAACCAACCTCCCCATTCACCTCTACAAGACCTGAGGCCTATGAAAGAAGTAACTTGACCACCCAGTGAACAGCAATGTGCAAGGAGACAGTAAACAAGGCGCCCTGTGAGGGGCACTGAAGGGCAGAGCCTGGCAGATGTGCTGCAGCCCCCTGCCCTGGGTGCCAGTCTCTGCTGCCCGAGTGTCACTGAGGGCTAGGGCACGGTTATACATGGGGTTAGCTTGACATACCTCAGGTGGCTAGTCCCAACAGCGGCCACTACTGTTTCAGAGCCTTCAGTTAGGGACAGGGCACTTGAGATCTGGGAAAAGCACTCAGGAATTTGAAAAACAAGCTGTACCCAAGAAAAGGGCAAACTTTATGTTGCCAAGCTGAGAAAAAGGGAGGACTGTGATTTTCTCAAAAGACAAGACAGGGCTTGCCAAGGGGATAGATCTCACATGGAAACGTGCTGACGTCATCCTTGAAAAGGCTCTGAGTCTCTCCCGTCTTGGCCATAAATCGGGTGAGGGCCCGCTCCACATCTCGTCTCTGGGAGGCAGCCTTCTCCCGCAGGACCTGGTAGTCCGACACAGGCTCCCGGTACGTCTAAGAGGAGAAACGCAAAGACACCGCGTTACACCCACAGGTCACCCGGCCCTCTCCTGTCCCGGCCTCGCTGTTGCTATGTCCTTCCAGCCTCTAGCACTAAGTGACCAGCTCTGCTCTCTTTGGAGGCGAGAGCTCCAAGGGGCAGTGGAAAGGTAGAAAGAAATATGTAGTTACCGTTAATACTTGTTTTAATCTTAAAACTTAGCAAACATACAAGTATTTAGTGGCTGTTGTGGGTCTTCGTTTAGCTCCCAGGACAGCTGACCGTGGCGCAGGATGCCTCCTGAAGAAACGTGCGACTCCCCACAGGGGAACCTGACAGGGACCGCCTTGCTCCTTCAGTGTGACGTGACACCCTGCAGCATGCGCACGGCTGCTGACGTGGGTTTGTGGACTGCTGTATCTAGTTTAACTCTCCCAAATGCACACGCTGTTCCAGAAGACTGCCTCAGAGTACTAGATGAAGACGTCAACATCAGCACAAGTGAAGTGCACGGCAGGTGTGACCCTCCTGCTCTTCGGCACTCGCGTGGGCTCGTGATCTACCATAACAAGCAGCAGCCAAAGCATTTTACATTGTGGTAAAGGTGCCATTTTTAGCAATGACTCCCAAAGTAACTACTCTTCATTAATATGGACATAGGGCTTTCAAAGGAGGATGTGGGACATCTCCACGGTGTCCCTGAATAGTCCCCACAGTCTTACTTAATCACAGAGACTCAGGACTTTGCTGGCTCGTGAAGAACCTTCCCAAAATGAAGAAGCGAATGGACTGTGAACATATCTGTTAGAAATGTTACAATGTGAGATTTTATCATTATTTTTAAGACACATGTCTGGCATTCAAAAAATACTTTAACAAATTCATCAAATAATGAGATGAGAGTGAAAAACTAGTTTTATGACTTGACGCACTAAGTGCAATGATGCGCATATCTTTGTAATGTATATTTCTCAATGATCAGAGCCATTAATGTACCTAAATAAAATGACCTTAGAACCAGACGCTCAGCTTTATTAGTCCAAAGAATTAAGCCAAGTTTCAAAAAATAAAAAAACAAATTAGAGAAGGGGTAAACTGACTTTCGAAACCTTTAATGAGGGTCATATTATCTTGATTATTAATATTATATTATTCACCTAAATAAGCATAGACTAAAGTATGTGCCTAATATTTCTGCCAGTGGTACAATGCAGTACAACATAGGGTTCTTCTTTGGAAACAGTCACTTCACACATAGCCAGCTGAGGTGAGATCATGCCGGAACAGGTGGGTCCCTAATCCAACAGGACTGGTGTTCTCTTACAAGAGGATGGCCACGTGCAGACAGACACAGAAAAAACCACATGAAGACAGAGACCGGTGTGAAGGAGAATACCACAGGTGGCTACCACCACCAAAAGCTCCAAGTGGCAAGGAAGGGTTCCCCTATGGTTTCAAGACCCTGCCAACAGCTTGAATTTGGACTTCTAAACTCTGGAACTAAGACAGTAAATTCTGTCATTTTACGCCACTGAGTTTGCAGCACTTCATTTCAGCAACCCTAGGACTCCAACACAGAGACTACAGGTGACGGGCAGTGGCTGAGTGACTTCTGTTCTTCTCCCCATCTTTGTCCACACCCCCAGATAAGGAGAAAAGTCCCCGAGGACTTGCCTTAACAGCTGGTACAGTGGCCGTTATCTGTACCACATCCAGGGTACGCAGGGGACAAAGGAAGCATGTGGGAGCCTTGGGGACTCTTTCGCACACCACACCTTCCCAGGGGGAAGTGAAACTGTTAGCCCAGCAAACAGAGCAGTGTGAACCACAGAGCACAGCTCAGCTCATCCTCAGAGACCTAGAACTCAAGAGTTCTGATAAGTTCTATTTCATGGTCTTACTATGTTTTAAAAGATCTTTCCTGAGATTTCAAAAATAATTTTTGTCTATAATGGAAAGCTGGGAAATGCACCAAAAAAAAAAAAAAGTTACCTGTAACCCTGCTAAGAATTACTACAAACTTTTGGTGGACTACCCTTGCAGACTCTCTTCCATCAGGGTAGGTACGCTTGTGTTTTGGTGGGAGAGGCAAAACTGATGCTGGCTTCAACTTCCTTGTTAATTCTCCTTTGCCACTGTTTCCCAAGGAGGAAAGACAGTCTCTGTTCCGTTACAGGTTGAACAGTGTCCCCCTCACAAAAGCAATGTTGAAGCCCTAGCCCCCCAGAACAGGGCAGGAGGCATGATCTCACCTCAACAACATCTCTGTTGTTTTAAGCCGCTGAGTTTATGGCGGGTCATTTCAGCAGCCTGAGGACACTAATACAAAGACTACCGGTCAAGGGCAAGGCTGTGTGGCAGCTACCTTTTCACTACAAACTGTGGGACTCCAGCCTGACCGAAGGAACTAACTGACTCTGTGCTTTGCATCAGTCCCGCCCTCCCTGCCTCCCTCTTACCCCGCAACGTGATGTTGTCACTCACCGGAGTTTTGATGTAGGTGTGCGGGTCGGGGAACTCGGGAAAATGGCTGGGGATGTGCGGTGGGTGGGGTCGGTTCTGCCCTGCAGTGAGGGCCTTGGGGGTCACTGGCTGATTAGTCACTGGAGCTGCAACAGAGTCACAACTGGTTATTTATCCACCCAAGGTTTTAGGTGTCTCTTCATACCCTACTTTTCTCAAAATAAATAAATAAATAAAAAGTTTGACCTCAATGTTCTATGTAACAGGCACTTTTTATTTCTATCAGTAAAAGGTCTTAACAACCTGAGACAGTCACCCCCATCCCGAGTCCTCCTGGATGACTGAGTGACAGTAGGCAGCTCAGTGTGACATCAAGAGCATACCAAGGAACTACAGGGTCAGATGGGCCAATTCTCTTTCCACAGACCCTGGGCCAGGGTAAGGAACGTAGGCCAGCAGTAGCAAAAGAGGACTGAAAAGGACACCTTCTCCTGCTACTTTGAGAAGGAAGTTCTTTAAAAGATGCCAGCAGGAAAATCATGATGGGAAAAAAAAATTACTGAATTTTTGCTGGGTCCAACAAGCCCAAACTAGTCACACTTTTTCCGTTTAACTGAAACAGTGGTCTTCCAGCCTCTGTGTAAAGGCACCAACAGGAAATATTTTAGGTTTTAGAAACCCCAGAGTCTCAAATAAGAGATTGGGGGGGAAGGGAATACAACAAAACTACTAAACAAAAATAATCAGACAGCTATAAATCAGAGACATGCTGCAGGGGAAGGGAAGGAAGAGAGAATAAAACACGGGCAGGAAGGGGACTATCACCTGATGGTGCACAGGTGACTGGTGGTGGGAATTCTGTGGGGACTACATCTGATGTAAAATATACACAAATAAAGAAATTATTAAAAAAAAAAAAAATCCCACTCCATAGTGGTGCAGCGGGTTAAAGCACAGCACCAAGAAGCTAAAGACTTCAGCATGAGTTTGATCCCTGCCCCAGTGGTGACCACATGGCGCAGCAGACCTCTCCTGACCTGCCCGCTGCTCCCCTCAGCAGTGTACTTCATCAGTTGGCCTGTTCTGCTCCCCACTCTGTCTCTGGTGAAGCCTCTCACCGCACCTGTGCTTCTGGCCTATACCCCAGTTCTGTATGCATAAATAAATAAATCTTTAGTAAAAAAAATCCCATAGTCTATTACAAATACTTAACTCTGCCATTAAAGCACAAAAGCAACCAAAGATGGTAAGTAAACATGGCTGTTTTCCTATAAAAACAGGCAGTGGGCTGTGTCGGCCTCACAGGCCACAGATGACCCTTGATCTAAGGAAGAACAAGTACTTTCACATTTTTCAAATAGCACTAATTGCTCTACTGTGGCACTGGCACAACTTCCCAGTGACAGTTTACCTTTCTGGTGACTGAACGTCACATCTTAATGCTACTAGCCCAATAAAGATCACCCTGTAGTAAAGTCACATAACAGCAGACCCATGCCTGCCCTAGCCAGTAGATTCAGTCCACAAGTACAAGGCGAGCACTTCCTGAGTGGAACCTCAGTTCATCATCACTTACGGGCAGTGATGACCATCCTCTGAGACCGTTTTGCATAAGCGGGGAGAGTGTCCACATTGAAACCTAAGAAACAAGAAACCAAAATATCACTGCCCAGACCACTGGATATTGAACATGGAAAAGGAGTGATGCTGTGGACAAAGAGCTAAAACTCCCAACTCAAGAGCTTTGCTGTCACTCAAAAGAATCTCCAGCAGAATTTCCCAACAGGGAGTTAGGAGGTCCCTTAACTAAGAACCCTCTTGTGATTGAGAGTGTGAGTTGCCTTGAACTCTCCTGAGCTAAAAGCAAACCAAGAGACATGAGGGAATTCAAAAACACTGAGCAGTTGTGCCTGACTCCCGGGACACCTCTCTCACAACTCCTGCTCAGATGCTTTAAGAACTAGAGCGCACAGAGGTACTCACCCATCTCAACAAGAGTCACCACGATATCCGACAGTGTGGGCTGGGTCCTGGCTGTGTGCTCACAGTAAGACTTGGCACTCCTCCCAATCTCTGAGATGTCTAGGAAGGATCAAAGAACAGCGTCTTAGTCTCAGTTCCCAGAAAGTTAAACAAAGAATTACCACATGAGCCAGCAATTTCACTCCTAGATATACCAAGTGAACTGAAAGTGGGCGCTCCAGCAGATACTGTACAGCCGTGTGCACGGGAGCGTACTCACAACAGCCAAAAGGTAGGGGCAACCCAGAAGAGTCCAACAGATGACCGGGATAAGAAAATTCCCCAAATAGTAATCGAGGCCCTCCCTGGTGGTGCAGTGGGTTAAAGCACAGCACTGAGAAACTAAAGCCACTTCCGCACGAGTTCGATTCCCGCCTGCCCCGGAGGTGACCACGTGGCGTGGCAGACCTCTCCTGACCCGCCCGCTGCTCTCCTCAGCAGTGTACTTCATTGATTTGCCTGTTCTGCTCCCCACTCTGTCTCTGGTGAAGTCTCTTGCTGCCCCTGAGCCTCTGACCTGTATGCATAAATAAATAATTCTTAACAAAAAAAAAAATAGTAATCGAGCCTTTAAAAGGAATGACTCTGACATATGCATAACACTGATGAACCTTGAAAACATTATGCTCAATCAAATATTGCCACATACAAAAGTCAAATATCTTAGGATTACACTTATGAGATACCTACTCACAAAGATAGAAAGTTGATTAGAACTTACCAGGGGCTGGCGGGGATGGGACTGGGCAGTTATTACTTATGGGCTCAAGTGTCTGTCTGAAATGATGAAAAAATGTTGGAAATGGAGTGTTGGTGACTAATGTACTTAATGTCACTGAATTGTACACTTAGAAGAGGTTAAAACAGTAACTTCTGATGGCAAAAGGTACAAAATGATGTAAAAATCAGCTATTATATAAAAAAACCCAAAAACCAGTAACTTGCATGGGCATCTTGCCACCATAAAGAAAAAAAAAAAAAGATCTATTCTCTGGTGGGTGAAGTTATTCCTTCTGCCTGAAGCTGAGCCTGTATCCAAGGGTTGGGGAACAGAGGGGATATTAAGCGGGGCTGACTGAGCTCCAGAGGCACAGGACAGCATTCATGGAAACTCAAGTGGCATGAAGCTTTACAGACACCAATAGCCTTATTTTTCTGGTGATGAGTCCAGAGATTTCATCAGATATAAAAGAGGCCTAAGAGGATTTGGAACTCCTGCTCTAGGGGCCCCATGATTCAGAAGATCAAAGCAAGTGGTGCTTGGTAAGAGAGGTATCCAACTGAAGACCTGCCACCAACTCCTCAAGCTACTCTGAGCAGGTCACTACTCCCAGGTCCAGGAAAAGAGGGCAGCATCCGTTTACTGTGGAGAACACCCCATTAGAATCTGGGTACAGGAGGCCTCCCTGGTGGCACAAGGGTTTGTTAAAGCTCAGCACTATGAAGCTATCCACAACCACTGCAGCACGTTTGGTCTCTTGCCAGGGAGCTGACCCACATGGCACAGCAGACCTCTCCTGTCTCACCTGCTGCTCCCCTCAGCAGTGGATTTCAATCAATCCACCTGTTCTGTTCCCCACTCTGTCTCTAGGGAATCCTCTCATCACCCTGTTCCCATACCTCTGGCCTGTACCCCAGTTCTTGTATGCATAAATAAATAAATCTTAAAAAAAAAAAAAAGAATCGAGTAGAACATCTTAGAAATATCCTTAGCTTCAGGAGGCAGCTAAAATATCTTCTTCACCTATTTGGTTCTCTTCTAACATGAATCAGGCCCTGGACGTGCAACCAGTGCAGAAAGCAATACACAAGACTTGCTCAGAACCCACACTAAGAATGAATGTTGCCGACAAGTGCACCAGTTTTGCCTGATGCTTCTATTTCAGCTTTACTGTCCACAGCTACTGACAATATGGGGGTGCTCAAGGCTTAGCAAGTCCTCAGCCCAAGCACCCATCTTTGGAAGTCCCTGGCTGAAGTGGCAGACTTTTAAACCAGTTTCAAACCTTTAGTTCTAATATCTAAAACAGAGATTTCCGCTGGCAAACCATTTCTTCTGAGAGAAAATAGTCCCTTGTTCAGTAGTATGAGAAAGAACTGCCTCAACCAGGACCTCTAAACTCTGGTATAAATGGGTGCATGTGTGTATGCATGGGTGTATGTGTGTATGCATGTATTTATTTGTGCATACAAGAACTTGGGGCTAGGCCAAAGGTGTGTGTGAGTTGAGGGGAGAGAGGATTCACCAGAGACAGAGCAGGGAGCAGTACAGGCAGACTGACTGAAATACACTGCTGAGGGGAGCAACCAGTGAGACAGGAGAGGTCTGCTGGGCCATGTGGGTCAGCTCCCTGAATGGGGATTGAACTCAGGCCGAAGTGGCTGCCGATAGCTTGATAGCACTGAGACTTTAACCCTGTACCTAAATCTGGTATTTGAAACTTCTAAACATCAGTTGTAGAGAGCAACCTTGTCCCAGACCATGCCCTTCCTGAGGCAACCACACTTAGTGACTAGTCAGGCTGGGGTCCAGACGTAAGGCCTTCTTAGTCTGATGTGGGACAAGCTCAATGTTAACAACTGCTCCAGAGCGCCCATGGAACTGCACAATTTTCTGCATAGCTTCCACTGCAGTTCAACTCCTCCCTCTACCTAAATCTTTCTCTCACTTTCATTCATAGCTGTTGCTCCCCACCTAAAACCTGAAGTCTGTGCGCCCCTTCCTCGTTTTACTCTATTTTTTAAAAAGATCCCAACAGGAAAACCCACTGTACATGCAACACACTGCTAGACTACTACTCTAGGCTGCTAAAGGTGAGATTATTACAAGCAACTAAATTTCAAGGTATTTCCTTTTAAAAGTATGGTTGTTGTTGTTGTTGTTTTTTTTCAATGGAGGTTGCGGGGAGAGAGCTCCTTAGTGGTCTCAGGGTTAAGTCTAAGTCTCAGTGTTATCACCTCTACGGCTTGAGTTCAATCCTTAGCTAGGGAGCTAGCCTACATGTGGCACAGCAGACCTCTGTCCGCCTGCTGCTCCTCTCAGCAGTGTATTTCATTCCTCCATCTGTGCTGTTCCACTCAGTCTCTGGTGAATCCTCTCACCCCCAGCACTCTGGCCTAGATCCCCAGTTCTTCTACACACAAAAAAGTTGTTTTTTGTATTTTTCCCCCCTTTTGTAAAACTTATCCACCCTCACTCTGCACACACTAGCATTTGACTATATAAAATAGTAGCATCTGGGGTGACTCTAGAAGACACAGGAGAGCAACAGAACATGGGGAAGCAGAAGAAACAAGGAAGTATGTGTCTGTGAAGTAAATACTGAGTCTCAGAAATCAGTGGCTTAAAGAAAAGGATAAAGCCTAAAAGGAAAGAAAAAAAGGGTCCCACTCATGGAAAGAGAAGTCACCCAATACCCTTACTTACTCTGTTTTATCTTGGGTAAAGTCACTTCATGGTTGATACTAACTTTATCAATTTCTTCATTATAGCCTATTTGGATTTAATGCAGTCAACTTGGATACCAAGAATATCCCTTGTATAACTAACTGTAACTGTTGAGATTGAGAAATTGGGATAGTATAAGTATCCAGTGGTCTAAGAATGGCTATCCTTAGATATCAACCACACACAAAAGAACCTATGCAAGAAAACCATTAAAGCAAAACTCAGCACAAGTGTTACACTGTGTTTCCGGTTGAGTGGAACCCTAAAGAATATTGTGTCCCCATCTTTTTAAATCACCAGTACAACATTGTGCAGATGCCCAATGATTTTGGAGTTCCTTGGTTATAATTCTCCTAAGACACAATTCTTCTATTTTCCTACAACTGACTTTTTCTACTGGCAGCTCATTAAACATACTATAGCATGAATGTTATTCTACTCACCCATTTGTTTTGTTATAGGAGTGTGTGGCTAAATACATACTCACTTTTTGATGTTTTGAAAATGATATTTTGTATCCTTTAAAATTTTGTTGCATCTTTTAATAAATCAGATAATTGCTTACCTTAAAATGGTAGCAACTCTTTAAAGAGCATTAATCCTGACTCTCCAATAAAACTCTTAAGTTATTTGAGCATAGAAAGCAAACAGTGATAATAATAATAGCACTTATAAGTCACCAAGAGCTTATAATGCTCCCAGCATCAAATGTCTAACGTATGTATATCACTTATATGCACAACTCCTTTAAGTACAAATTATCTCACTTTACAAGCAAGGAAATGAGGTTCAAGGGATTTAGTGACCAAGCTATTAAGTGGCAGACCAACGACATATATCCAGGTCCATATGATTCTAATTTTTAAAACTATGCTCTCCTTCTTAAAACCTTACTAACAATATCATAATGCAGGTCATACAATGTAAAGGTCTAATGGTTCTCAGTACTCACAACTCTGTAGCATCTCTGTCAAGGTTTCCACGGATGCTTTCTCAGCACTCTCAAATCCTGCTTCAGTCAACAGGGAGCTCACAACCACTTGCAGAGTTCGCCTTCGGGCCAGATGGTAGTTATCAGCAGGGTTAGTGGACTGTTTACTTCCAGATCTCTGTGAATCAGCCAGAAAGAGAATTTTCATCCACAGGATAAGGATGCAACCATATAGTCAATGATAAGCAAGGTGGTTTTGCTAAACACTTATTTATCAATGCCTAATAAAATGTGTCTCTGATGTGTAGACTTGAGACTTTTTTTTAAAGATTTATTTATTTATGCATACAAAACTGGGGTGCAGGCCAGAGGAACAGGTGTGGTGAGAGGATTCACCAGAGATAGAGTGGGGAGCAGAACAGGCAGATGGATGGAGTACACTGCTGAGGGGAGCAGTGGGCAGGTCAGGAGAGATCTGCCGCGCCATGTGGGTCCCCTCCGGGGCGGGGATTGAACTCATGCTGAAATGGCTTTAGCCTCTTAGTGCTGTGCTTTAACCCACTGCGCCACCAAGGAGGGCCCAAACTTGAGATCTTAACTGATTAATCACCCAGCACCCAGGGTACTCTAAATACGAAGACAATCTTTCTGCTTAACCTAAAACTTAGAATTCCCGTAATACAAAATGGCTGTTTATTTTCTATTTTAGTTATCAGAATACATAGCTGAAAAAAACATGCACGATTTAATTGATGCCTATCGCCCCCCCACACACACAATAATGTCTCTATCTTTCCTCCCATTTCACTAAGAAAAATTAAACATTAGATGTTGAGTAGAGGAGGGCAAAAGATAACAGCACAGAGAATCAGGAAAGCTAAATATTTTGAAACAGGAATCCCTCCCAATTTTGGCTGACCAATAAAAAGGAGAAAACGGCCTCTTTGAACCAATCAGGAGGTGTTCCGGGTTCCCAACCCCCTCAACAGAAAACGAGCCAATCAGTACACAGGTTCACCAAGTCAGGAGGCCGCCGCCAAGTCCCGAGGAGGGGGGGCATGTACGACCTGAAAGACCCTCCTCCGCTCGGAGCTCAAGGTGGGGTTGGATCTCTGGGTAGGCGCTGGCTGCTCAGGCCAGAGGAGAGTGAGAGAATGCCTGGAGTCTCTCGGCTTCCGCCCCCCGCCTCCCGCCTCCCGCCCTTACCGTTCCGGAGCTGCCAGCCCCGGCAGTAGCCGCCGCGTCGGCCATCTTGCTCTGGCGTAATGGACGCGAGCGCAGGGCAGGCTGGGACTTGTAGTCGTGGGGCGGGGAGGAGGGGAGGAGCGACGAGGAAAAGGGGAGGGGCGCGCCCAGCCGGGCGTTGCGAATCCCTGCCCCGCCGGGGGTGCGTCTAGTAACCCCAGCGCACGTGACCTACTGGGGACTAAGGGTTCTTGGGTGCCCCGTGACTTCGGAATTAACCAGGAAAATGCGCGCTCGATTTAATACCTATTTCAAGATGAAGCTGTCTCTATAGAGTATTTCCCTGGAATGGTCCAGATTTACCTGAAAGTGTGCAGGCGCTGGTGGACCTAGCCCAGAGTCATCCTGCGGGAAATTTGGGGAAACGCTATTTTGTGCTGACGGCCCTGAATTCTGCCAGTGGCCCACTTGGATCTAGTGGATCTAGCCAGCTAGTCCAGGACGTCCGCTGCATCCCGCTGCCACTTCGTGCCCCAGGTGATGCGGGGCGCAGACTGCAGGATGCTCTGTCCTTAGTCCCAGAGCTTTGAGGTCACTTGATGCCTGTGGTTTTCATCCCTCGAGGCTCCTCGTGTGAGACCCTCCTCATCCCCCGTCTGCGGGTGGCCAGCGGGAAAAGCTCCAGGTTGGAATCTTAGTCGTCGCCTGCTGTGGGACCTAACCTCCCTGTGCCTCAGTGTGCTCTTCTGTGAAAGGGGTGAGACTGACAGCGGGGAAGAACCAAGCTAATGGACAGGGTCTGTCACGGTGCCACGGGCATTATAAGAGGTCACGAAACAGCGCCCGGTTGTTTATCGCCTGCGCGTCGCAAGGCTGGGCAGCAGTTACCTAGCGGCAGGAGTCTGGAAACCAGCAGCGCGGGCGCAGGAGCCGGGGAGGTGCCCGGCCCCTCACCTAGGGAACGTGGGGCGGGGTCTGAAGGCTGGGGGCACCGGGCTGCGCCGGAGGAGTCGGAGCCAGACTTTGTCAGCACTGAGCACCCAGCCCCTTTGTCTCCTCCGCCCCCTCGTCCCCACTTCCTGCCCAGCTTTAAACTCGGGATCCGCGGCGCCGCAAGGACTTAGTAAACACGCGGCGTCTGCTGGGTGGAGACTGGTTTGGTTTGGGAGCAAGGGGGAGGGGTGCACACCCCTCTCGGCGGCTGGAGGTTGCGATCCCCTCCCCTCCCCACACCTCGCCCAAGGCTGGGACCAGAGGCAGCGGGAGAGAATGTCTGCTCTCAAGGTCGATGCTCCGGGGGGCTCACCTGCTTAGGAGGTAGGCTTGAAAGCTGGGAAAGCCAACTTCGTTGGGGTTGTCACTGCGATCACCCTCTCCTGTGGGCAAGGTTCAGCCTGGACAACTGGGTGGGAACCGGAGGTGAGTGGATTAAGCAGGTTGTCCTCTCATGACCTCCTGTTGGCCCCCAGAGCTCTCTACTCACTTTTCTTCAAAGTAGCAGGAAAAACCCGCAGCTCTGAGCCCTCTAGCTGACCTGCAAGCCTAGTGATTTCACTAGATCATCGTGGTCGTGGTCGTTTCTCTTCTGAGATAAGGATGGGAGGTGAGTGGGAGGGTAGGACCAGTGTGGCCAGTGAGCCTTTGGAAGGTCTGGAAGGAGTGGGGTCCCCCAGTGTTCATCCCTCTGTGGTGTCTGACATGTACCACTTGTGATGATGTTGCCTCTTCTGTGTCTTTGAAAGTGTGCACAAAACCAGAGGAATAACTGAGGTTGCTGTTACTCAGGGAACATTGACTGACTCATTTTCTAATGTTGAGTGGAGCATCTACTATGTGTCCGGCGTTGTAAAAGATGCTCAGAGTGGAGAGAGCTTATTCATCCACAGCAAATGGGTCACCAAACAACACAGATGAGGGGCCAAGTGTGCTATTGGGGTGGCTGGGGAGGCTTCTGAGAGAAGAGGTCATTTGAATTAGGCTCTTGATGAATATTTCACTGGATAGAGAAGGTGGGACATCTTCGTGGGGGTGGGGTGACACTTCATTCTGCAGAGCTGTACTGAACCCTGACAGTGGTCTTGGGCATTGGGAGACAGGGGGAATCCAGAACCAGGCCTGGACTTCCTTAATCCACTGTCTTGGCACAAAGAAGACGTAGGGATGAGCAGGATGAATTCCAGGAAAGGCAAGTTCTGGGATGGTCCACAAGAACCCAGAAATTTCTAGAGGGGTGCAGCTGGGACGATCCAGCTGGGGTGACAGTCCACACAATCTTGGGCATCCACTCCCCATCCCTGGGCTCTAAAGATTGCTTCCTCTAACAAATTCTTGCCCTATTCCTCAACTGCTCTCCCCCCACCCACACTTGTCAGTTCTCTTAGAACTCCCACTGCTTTTCCTTGCAGATTCTTCTGCACTACTCTGACAGATGACTTACACAACAACTTATGGATCCATTTCATACCTATTTTTGTCTGCATGGGCTAGATGTTGGGGATAGTCCAGGAGCTTCTGTGCCTCCTGGAATTCAGAATTAAAAGCATCTCTTAGAATTCCTGCAGGATCTGTAGCTATGCCTGATTCTTGAGACCATGATTGATCTCCATGATCCACACACCTTCTGGTTCCTGTTTCCTTCCCTCAAGGGCTCAGAATACCCATGGACAGCATAGTATAGCACTGTAGGTACTCTCCTAAGAGTTTTAAGTACAATGTCTCATTTAATTCTCCTGACAGTTCTTTGAGAAAGCAGGACAATCTCCATCTTGTAAACCAAGGAACCCAAGCCAGAGGACATAAGTCATTTTCTAAAAGGACACTGGAAATAGATAGTAGAGTTGGAGTTTAAGCCCAAGTCACTTGTCACTTGATTTGAGAGACACCATTCTTAACCACTAGGCTAACCTATCTCCTTTAGGGCCACAAGGAATATGCATCTGACCAAGAGTGACTGTGCTGCTGTGTCTTGTATGATCCTGAAGATTGTAAGCAGCAATTTGTTAGCTGTGCTTGGGTGGGCCCAGTAAGTCTGGAGTGGGATTGTGGGGACGGCAAGGATCTAGTGTCCCCTCCTAAGGACTATGTTTGTGTGTGCATGTGTGTAAGCCTTATTCCCCAAAACAAACAGACCAAACCAAGGTTGTATACAAGAAAACTTGAAATGGATATGATGTTCCAAAATATGTACATTTGGGAAAATAAGACCCCTCCTTTGTTAGGAATTTTTATCAGTGGCAGAAACCCTTATCTATTAGATGGCAAAAGAAACAGTCCACCTGATAGCTGAATAAGGAAGATGCTTAAGGAGTGGAAACTATCTTAAGAGGTCTCATGCCTCTCCCTCACTGCTTCTGCCCTCCATGGGGCTCATCCCTGTGTGTGTCTGGGCTCATCCCTCCAGGCCAGCTGGGATAATGCTCAGGCTTGCTAGCCAGGACAGGACATTTCCATGGATACAGCCATTGTTCCATTACCTTTCAGAAGTCCTGTGTTTCTCACAAGAGTCCTCTACACAGATCTGGAGGCCCTGAGGCAGTCCCTTCTCTGCCAGCAAACCACTTCTCTTTGAGAGAGGGGCATGTGTTGTGGGGGATGGGTGTTGAGGCTGGGAGTGGGGGGAGGGGGATTATTGGGTGGCTGAACCAAGATAACAGGTAAGCAGGATATGAACTTTCAGAACTGAATAGACCTGCAAGGCTGTTCTCTGACACCCCCACCTCTACCCTCCCTCATCACAGGGTAAAGTGGAGTGGAACTCTAGCAGGCCCCAGCCCCCTGCCCCAGGCCCTTGGCCCCTGAGAACAGGTTGTACTTTTGAGAAACCACAAGAGGAAGCCTAGGGAGGACTGGGGGTGGGGAAAGTTCTGAAGTCCTTGCCAAGTTTCCCTTTCTCTGCTGAGTAGTAGGTGTGTTTATTTTGGTGTGTTTTTCTTGCCTTCAGAGGCATTTAATTTTTAAACCTTCTGAGTTTAAAGAACTGTCAAGGCCCAACCATTACCTGGTATGTCCCTCAATAACATCCATAATTCTCATGGGGATCAGACATGGCCTTGGAAATGGTTTGGAACAAGGGACCCACTGGATTCGAGCTGGTTGGGAAAAGGCTGACTCAGAAAGTCTCCTTTTCTCCTTCTTGCTTTCTCCTTTTGCCTTTCTTTCTCCCAGAGCCCTCCCTGTAGTTCTGAAATCCAAGGAATGTGGTTATGATGGCTACTTGGGTTGCCAGGAGATGTCCTAAGTGTTTTACATGTCTTATCTCACTTATTACCTCCATCCTGATTTGTAGGTGAAGAACTGAAGCTCAGAAAAGCTAACTACCTTGCTGGGCCCAGGACTAGAGAGTGGCAAAGCCCAAATTTGAATACCAGCCTGTCTGTTTTCAAAACCCCTGCTCTTGGGCCCTCCCTAGTGGTGCAAAGGGTTAGGTCTCAGCACTATGAGGCAATCTACAGCCACTGCAGTACAAATTCCATTCCTGGTCAGGGAGGTGACCCGATGCCACAGCAGACCTCTCCTGACCTGCTGCTCCCCTCAGCAGTGTACTTTGTCAATCTACCTGTTCTACTCCCCACTCTGTCTCTGATGAATCCTCTCACTGCCCCTGCACCTCTGGCTTATACCCCAATCTGTATGCATAAATAAATAAATCTTAAAAAAAAAAAGAAAAGAAACAGAAATTGGCATACTTATAAAGCTATTGCTGCTTTGTAAAGGAAAAAAAAAAGTTTGTAAAAAGGAAAACAAGTAAAATATTTTAACAAGCAACCACGTTTAAAAAAAAAGATGCAGTAAGTGAAAAGTTGCCCACTGACTCTGAAAGACTGAAGCAAAATGGGAGAATACTTGAAAGGTTGCATTTGGAAGCCTCCAGATAGGGGTTGGGGAACTGGTAGAGGCATAAGAACTTCCTAAAAAAAAATTGCCTAATTCCCCTCTGAAGAAGTGTATTCCCCACTTAAAGGAATGGAGAACAGGAGCTTAGCAGGGGCTTCTGCCAGTGAGAGGAAAAGCCCCTCCACCTCTTAACCTCTCATGCAGTCCTTGGCTCTCCATACTACCTGCCCACGGTGGTCCCCTG